TGCGTGTTTTCTGTAAACTTTTTGAAGACTTCTCATATTTGAAAAATCAAGAATTCAGTTAGACCCTAATAAAACAGATAAATACCTAATCTAGATTTTTGTGACCAAAAAAAATGTAGAAGTGGAAGACAGGAGGAAGTTTCTGGCCAGAAACCACAGGACCGGTGACCCCTCCCGGCACCCCATTGGGCTGAGCTCAGCGTTCGTCCCACTTGGACGGCTCTTCAGGGGCTGTTGCTGCTGTCGCCGCGTGAGCTGTGCAGACTGCACATGTGAGGATCTGTGCTGCCTTGCAGCTACACGCGGCAGCATGCAAAGGCGGGGCCCGGGGCCTGGGGCCTGGGGCCTGGAGTGGGCCGTGGAGCTGTGCTCCCTGCCACAGCCTCCCACTACCTGCGGGCCGACCTCTCACCACCTGCGGGCCCCACCACTGTGTTCCCCGCCACAGCCTCCCACCACCTGCGGGCCCTGCTGTGCTCCCTGCCACAGCCTCCCACCACCTGTGGGCCCTGCTGTGCTCCCTGCCACAGCTTCCCACCACCTGCGGGCCCTGCTGTGCTTCTGCCTAAGCTGGCAGGTGTGCAGAACCTCCTTTATGGGAGTCGGCATGGGAAGGTCACTTGATATGTTCCCTGTGTGTGCTCGCACGGGTACCGAGGGAAGTCACTACATACGTGTACTTTGCGTGCTCACCTGGGTCCTGCCCTCTGTCTTTTGTTTGTTTTTTAAACTCTTTGGGTCATGGCCCCTTTCAGAATCTAGTGAAAGCGTCCACTCACCCAAACGCCACACCAGGAGGTCAGCGGAGGGCCTGAGGGGCAGTAGTGGCCTCGCAGGCTCTGTGACCCAGCAGCCTGGCGTGACCAACTAGGCAGCTTAGATCCGGGCTGACAGTGTCGTCTGAGCACGTAGCGTCCCGGCAAGCCCACTCACACAGCCCCTTACAGCCTGCAGGAGTTCGTGAAGGATGCCGGGAGCTACAGCAAGAGGGTGGTGGACGACCTCCTGGATCAGATCACGGGAGGGGACCACTCGCGGCTGCTCTTCCAGCTGAGACAGGTGAGCCCTGCCCTCGCTGTGTTTCCTGTACAGGGGCTCGTCCAGGCTGAATTCCCGGGAGCATGCCGTCCCAAGAGTCTTCAGGTCAACTCGCTAATTCTCTTGCTGGTTTTCAATGTTGCTTTAAATAGTTAACTATCTTTTTTTAGGGGCGTGCGCTCGCCAGAGAGAGAGAGAGACAGAGAAGTAGAAAGCAGGAAATCATCTCTAGGGGGATGCCCACGCTGCAGTCCCTTCTCCTCCATTCTCTCTCGGGGTCTTGGACTGCACGCAGACACACCTGGCATGAGTTTTAAGCCACTGGGAATGGGATTCAGCCCGCAGTCGACAACGTGGCAGTCCAGTGATGTAACCATTACACCATCTGCTGGTCTCCCCGCCTCCTTTTTTTAGAGGTTCTTGCCTTGGGGTGCATGTGCTCACCAGAGAGAGAAAGTGAGAAATCACCCACTGTGGGGATGGCTGTGCCACAACCGCTTCTCCGTTCTCCGGGACCTTGGGCGTCCATGCACATGTGCCTGGCACCGAATTTCAAGCCACTGGGTCCAGGACTCAAACCGTTGAATCATGTGGGATTCTGCCACCCACTGACCCAGTGAGTTTTCTTTTTCTTGTTTTCTTTGGAGATGTTTTTGCTATAGGGCACGTGTGCTCACCAGAAAGAGACAGAAAGCGAGAAATCACCCCCCAGGGGGGACGGCCATGCCACAATCCCGCTCCTCTGTTCTCCTCTCAGGATCTTGGCCACGCATGCACATGCGCCTAGTGTGAGTTTAAGCCACTGGGTTCGGGACTCGTGGGAGTCTAGTGACATTGCCATTATGCCAACTGCTGGTCCTTGTGTATGTTTTAACTATAGAGTGTGTGTGTGTATGTGTGTGTCTCACGGAGTACCTCACAGGGTCTCATCACACTGCAGTCTCTTGGATCCCAGGCACCCATACGGGTCTGGTGTGTCACTGGGGGAGTCCAGGGGTCCAAATGCATGTCAGCCATGGGGCTCCCAGCACTGTAGCCTGGAACGTCAGGGGCCGTGCCTGCTGGCCTGGCCGCCTCCGCCTCCTGGGTGTGACGTGGAGGCGTCCCTGCCTCCGCTGTGGGGAGGTCTGACCTGGGTGCTGTCTCCCACGGAGGGCGGGCTTGCTGCCTGTTCTTGAGCTGTTGGCTGGGCAGGCTCCAGTCAAGGGCCAGCTCTGACCTGCAGCCGGCCTCGGTGCAGTCCTGGGGCAGACTGTGGGCCGTGGGGGAGGGGGACCACGGACACGCACTGCAGACCGCCCGTGTGGGCCCCCAGGCACCACCGCTGCCTCTGCCCTTCCCGAGAGTCTCCGGTGGCCCGGTGCCGAGCAGCATGCCTCCAGGTGCCCTGCGTGCGCTCCGGTGTGTGCTCCACGGCATGCGTGCAGCTTCTCGGCGATCAGCTTACCCTTCTCAGCACGTTTGCAGGCTGGCTGCCATTTCTTCTGGTGCCATTTTCCGCTGCGGCAGCTTTCCCTGTACCTGGGATTTGAGCGTGTCACACATCACTGGGGCCTGGTGCCTGCTCTCTCCTGTCCTGGCCTCTGCGCCGTGGCATTGTGTTCATTCAGCCACTCGCGTGCTACATCCGAGTTCGTGGCTGGTCCAGCCAGTCACGTTTTCCCTTGAGACAGTGTCCTCTGCCCTGGTTCTGTCTACACCTCGTGTTCCCTCCACGTCTGAGTGTCACCCGTCCTCTGCCCTGGTTCTGTCTACATCTCCCATTCCCTTCCACGTCTGAGTGTCACCCGTCCTCTGCCCTGGTTCTGTCTACACCTCGTGTTCCCTCCACGTCTGAGTGTCACCCGTCCTCTGCCCTGGTTCTGTCTACACCTCGTGTTCCCTCCATGTCTGAGTGTCACCTGTCCTCTGCCCTGGTTCTGTCTACACCTCGTGTTCCCTTCCACGTCTGAGTGTCACCCGTCCTCTGCCCTGCTTCTGTCTATACCTCCTGTTCTTTCCAAGTCTGAGTGTCACCCGTCCTCTGCCCTGGTTCTGTCTGTCCCTCCCGTTTCTGCCATGTCTGAGTGTCCCTTCCCATTTGAGCACGCTCGTGGTCTCTGTCCCCACTGCTCCTGGAATCCTTGCCTGCAGACCGTGCGAACTCTCTGGTCCTTAGTGTCAGAGGAAGCTTTATGGGAACGGCGTGGGCACTGCGGCCTCTGCCTCGCTCGCTCCCTAAGTCAGCCCTGGTGAAAGACATGGCAGGTACACCTCGACCCTCTGCACACAGAGCAGGACGTGCCCGGCTCTTCAGGTCACACGTCAGAGCACGGGCGACATGGCTGGGCCCACGCGGGACATGAGGCTTGCTTCG